GCGTGTGTATGTACGTATGCGTGAATGCGTGTGTCGGCCTACGTGTGTGAGAGAGAGAGCACACTCATACTCACATGGTATTAAATTTAAGTTGTGTTTAGTGAGGTGTTTTGGCGTCCACAAGACGTTTCTCTCTACGTGATGGTTTTGTTGTTTGGGTACCACGAACAGACCATGTACTGTATTTCACTGGTTTCTTACGTCTCTCTTACTCTTATGTGTTTTCTTATTGTGATTCAGGAGTGGAGAAGTTAAAAATTTCCACAAATCCCCCCCCCCCCCCCCCTTGGGTTGATTTTTATGCACCCACAATCACAAACGACCAGTACAATGATTCAAAAGTAGAAAATAATTTGCTTAAAATGTCTTGGTTTTACTGCTTGTCTCGCTCGCACACATGCATATGTGTGTGCGAGTGTGTGTGTGTGTGTGTGTGTGTGTGTGTGTGTGTGTGTGTGTGTGTGTGTGTGTGTGTGTGTGCACGTGCGTACGTGTTTGAGTTCTTTTTTAAATAAGATTTTCGGTAAGTGTTTTACGGCGCTCGCAACTGCATAAGGTCACATGAGTGAACGGGACACACCAAACATTTTCAGTTCGTAGAAAATTTTTAGTTTAGCCCGGGTGGCGGTCAAAGATTACTCCCCTTAACGTGCGCAACTTGCAAACGAGACCTCCGAGATTTTTCGCCCTTGTCCGAGAAGACTAGGTGGAGATCTTTCCTACCAGAAGATCAGGGGTGTGGCTGAAAGACAGCAGTAAGAAGGAGCCAAGGAGTAGCAGTAGAAAGGCTGCAGAAAGAGTCAGGAGCCCAGAGGAGGCGGGCAAAGGAGGTGAGGGGGTGGGGGCAGACATTTGAGACAAAAGCAGACGACAGAACATTGTTGGAGAGCAGGATAGGAGGTGAATGGAGACAATTTTAGAGAAGAAAATTTTTTCGTCACTACTCGGATTTGAACCCGGGACATTTGAATGAGAGGCAAACACCTTAATCTCTAGGCCACGAGAGCCCCCGTGTGAGTTCTGGGTCTAGCTGTTCTATTAACTTTTTGTTTCGGATACGTTTTATCAGCCACTTTATGACACGAAGTAAATTGGTCGCTTTTAAGCACAAAGGGGCTCTTCCGAAAAATGCTGTTTTGAGAAAAGCGGAGGTAAAGTTTCTGGATCCTTATTCAGTCCCTTTAAAAGGCAAGGAGAGTTTTCTTTTATAACTAAACAAACATACACACACATGGAACCAAACTTCTCCTATAGGTAGGGCAATTCCCACTTTTGGTGTAGGTCAAGATTTCTGGAAACCCCCGAAATCTGGGTTAGCTCGCTTGTCCTTAAAAGCGACCAATTATAATGTAAATCCACAGGGGTTAGGAAGGAATTGAAAACATAAATGCGTGTGCCTGGAGAAAGGTCCCAATTGTCGGCAAAGCTAATTTTGAGCAACGGCGTGAAAAGGTTAAAAAAAAAAAAGTCGTGCCAGGTCAAAAATTTACTTCCATCAAAAAACATATGTTTGACCATTTTATAATGTATATGGTCGCTTTTAATTTTAAGCACAAGGGGGCTATCCCGAAAAATGCTGTTTTTAGAAAATCGAAGGTAAAGCGTTTGCCCCTTGTTCAGCTTCATTAAAATACAAGGAGAGTTTTCTCTATAACAAACATACACACAAATGAAACTAAACTTCTCTTAAAAGTAGAGCAATGCTCACTTTTGGTCAGTAAGCTTTAGTAGAGGTTTTACGGCGCTCGCAACTGCATAAGGTCATATGAGCGCCAGAAGATTAGAGCTGTTACAAGAGAGTAACAAACATTTTTTAAAATGAAGGGGAGATAAGGACGACAGATGTTTGATAGGAAAGAAGAAGCAAACCACATCAGAGCACCCGCCAACCACCCACTGAAAAAAAACCTGGGTTAGCCTGCTTGTCCTTAAAAGAGACCATATAGATCTATCGAAAGGATGTTATGTCTTAAGTCTAGATATTTTTTATTAGTTATTTTTGCAACATGCTGTACTGTTCAGCAATGAATTTGCTACAAGAATATGCCCTAATTTCAATATCCAAAATTCCCGACATCTGGGACCTTTCTCCGCGCATACACACTATCTTTTTTCTTAAAGTAGAGGTTTTACGGCGCTCGCAACTGCATAAGGTCATGTGAGCGCCTAGGGGTGAATGTCAACAGAGAAGTCCTTAAAAGGGAATCAGACTTACTCTGCTCACCTCCCTAGCTTCAACAGCACAAAGTCTGCTGCTTCGACTATCAAGGCACCCCGGAAATAGCGGGTCACAAGAGTGTAAAAAACATATAAAAGAAGTAGAGAAAAAATGACGATAGTAAGGATTAGAAAAAAACAACAACAGTTCCCTGTTGCAGTTCAAGCAGTTATGAGCCTGACGTTGATGAATCAGCCCATTCACAATTACAATTCTACTATGCACAAGAACTCGAGATGTTAATGTCCGCCCCCCCCCCTCCTTTGGGGAATGGCCTAAAGACACTTCAGTCAGTAGCAACCCCCCCCCCTCCAGACACACTATCTTCTGGGGTCTGAAATGTTATATACATGCATGTAAACAAAAGTTGTGCTTTGCCTGTAAACTTTGAAATGCATTGCAAATAATTATTTCAACTCCTTTTTTTCTGTATTTATGTACAGTACTCTGCGCGAGTTTTATTGTGTGCAGTTTAATTCAATTTTCCAGTGACTTTTTAATAATACATATACATGTATAGTAAACCAAACAAAATTCTGGTTTGAGTTTGTGTAGCTTTCTTGTGATGAGAGAGAGAAAGAGAGAGAGAGAGAGAGAGAGAGAGAGAGAGAGAGAGAGAGAGAGAGAGAGAGAGAGAAAGAGAGAGAGAGAGAGAGAGAGAGAAAGAGAGAGAGAGAGAGAGAGAGAGAGAGAGAGAGAGAGAGAAAGAGAGAGAGAGAGAGAGAGAAAGACAGAGAGAGAGAGAGAGAAAGAGAGAAAGAGAGAGAGAAAGAGAGAAAGAGAGAGAGAGAGAGAGAGAGAGAGAGAGAGAAAGACAGAGAGAGAGAGAGAGAAAGAGAGAAAGAGAGAGAGAGAAAGAGAGAAAGAGAGAGAGAGAGAGAGGGAGAGAGAGAGAGAGAGAGAGAGAGAGAGAGGGAGAGAGAGAGAGAGAGAGAGAGAGAGAGAAAGAGAGAGAGAGAGAGAGAGAGAGAGAGAGAGAGAGAGAGAAAGAGAGAGAGAGAGAGAGAGAAAGACAGAGAGAGAGAGAGAGAAAGAGAGAAAGAGAGAGAGAAAGAGAGAAAGAGAGAGAGAGAGAGAGAGAGAGAGAGAGAGAAAGACAGAGAGAGAGAGAGAGAAAGAGAGAAAGAGAGAGAGAGAAAGAGAGAAAGAGAGAGAGAGAGAGAGGGAGAGAGAGAGAGAGAGAGAGAGAGAGA